GGACGCTCGTCTCAGCACCGGAGGGAAACTGGGGAGTCCCCCCACCCCGCCCCCGTGCGTCAGCAGCGCCAACTGCAGGCTTCGGGTGCAGCACAGGCAGACTCGCTTTCCGCCCCCAAGCAGCCGCCTCCGTGACCACAAACGTCCCCCCGGGTGGCGACTGCAGGGCGGGTATCAGGCTTCCCCTGGTGGCGCGAGCACAGCGTCGGGGGCCCTGGGCCCCTGGACACAGCAGCGCCTCGGATGCCGGCGCACACAGCCCCACGCCCGCTCCGCCCGCAGACTTTCCCTGCTGTTGGGTTTTGTTGACTTGCCCGTGTTTAAGTCCCTTTTCCAGCCCCCAAACGTACTGTGGACTTAAAGAAACGCAAACGCGGTTGCGTGTCGGCGGTTCCAGGCACCGAGCGCTTGCTCGGGGCGGGCGGGAAGTGGGAGGCCGCTTGTGCCCGGGGCATCGTCGGCCCCCTGCCCACCTTGGCCAGCGCCGTGTAGTTCCCGGGCTCCAGAAAGTAGCCGGGGATGGCGAGGGTCTGCCGGTGCGTGCTGACGGCGGGGGGCAGGGCCACCCCCAGCCCCGCGGAGTTCCTGAGGCTCCAGGTGTAGGAAAGGCCTCGGGAGATGTCGCAGAGAATGGCGGCTTCAAAGGCCACGCCCAGCGTCACAGGCTCAGACCTCCACACCTGCGCGATGAGAGAAAGGTGTCTCATGGAAACTTCCATCTTGCCTCATTCCAGAGTAAATGATTAAAAGCTTACACGTGACCTAACACTCCGATTGTGTTTACGTCATCCCTGGATGGGCTTCTCAGAGTTGGAATTGAGGGCTCAAAACAAATGCCACGTCGACTTTACAAAGAAAAGTAAGAAGTCCACATGAAAAGCAATGAGGAAAAAACAAATATGTATAAACCCATGAGAAAAAAACCCTTCTAAGCATAAAATGGGAAAATATCAAAGGGAAAGGTGAATAGATTTGATTACATAAAAATTTTAAACGTCTGAATGTCAAAATATAATTTTTGAAAGCAATCAACAGAGAAGGAAAACCATTTGCAAAACGTGACAGTTAATACCATTTAAAATCAATGGGAATTGCCTTATTGTATGGTTTCCACTATAAAATCATATATTCAAAGTTTAAATTGAAACAAAAAGAACCCCCGATTTCTGATGGTTGGAGACACTGGAACAAAGGGTTGTAACCATAGTTCAAACAAGGGGCACAGGAGGAACGCGTGTGAAGTGACCTCGTGCGCGGTGTTTTGAGGACATACAGTCTGCGGACGACGAGAACTCGACAAATCTGCGAGCTCGCTGGGAAGTTTTATTTCTGGTGATCACGTTGCTATTGTTGCTTCGAAAGTAGTTGACATGTTTATTAGGAAAGATGCTAATAAATACTTCTAGAGCTGAAGCAGCTGTCCGCTGGGGCGACCGCCACTATCCCAGCCCACGGAGTCCCACAGCCCAAAGCGGGCCAGTTGGAGCATTTGGGGACAATGCCTGTGACGGATGGAGTAACATTAAAGCAGTCGGCAGGTCCGACCTCGCGGTGGTCAGCGGGCCTGGGCGGCGACGCTGCCCCAGCCTCTGGCTCGCAGCAAGCGGCCGGCAGGAGGCCCCTGGAGGCCGTTTCGGGAACAGCTCCCGTGAGCACGGGCGGGGAGAACCGTGCAGCAGCTGGGACCCAGGGCTTCAGAACGCACTGCTTTTGGTAGACATGGAATTTTGCCTTTGGCTTTCGTTAAGTGACGTTAGTCATGACTTACTTCCTTTGAAATTATTTTTTACTCTTGGACTCTGAATAAGATTCTAGAATTTGTCACAGAACGACCCAGATTTATGAGTTGCAACACATTTTGTCTGAGAGGCCAGTTTCTAACCCATGAATAATGACAAACGCAAAATGAGGACACGCCCGGGGGGACCAGAACTTGTTCTGAGGTGCTAGCATGTGTGAGTCGGCACCGGGGGACACGCACCACGGCTTCTCGACGTCCCAGAAGGGTCTCAGGTCCTGGGCCCAGTCCCTGTGGGAATTATCCCCCTGGAAATGCTGCAGACATGTTGAAGGGGGGTGAGGGCAAAAGGGGGTACGGGAGGAAGGGGGTGCAGGCAGGAAGGGGTCCGGGCAG